CAGTGCTTAGGGCACCAGTGAGCCTTAATCCTCACTGTGCATGGCCACTTGAAGATGGTCTTCAAAGCCAGCTGGGGAACCCTGGGAGTTGAAGGCCACACATCTTCAAGGAGCCAAGATTGAGAAATGCTGGCATGACCAGAGCAGAGACCAGGTCACTCTGACTCTCCAACTCACTGGCAAGAGTAAACTTCCTCAGGAGATCGAGAGAAAGCAGATCAGCAATGGGCCGTGTGTGTGTGTGTGTGTGTGTGTGTGTGTGTGTGTGTGTGTGTGAGAGAGAGAGAGAGAGAGAGAGAGAGAGAGAGACAGGTGGGGGGAGGAGGGGAGGCTGATTGGCCAAAGCAGTATGGAGTTAAACCTCAAGGACCAGGAAAAGAAAATAAAAGTTGGTCAGGGTTCCAGCAGTGTCTGTCAAAGGCAGAATTTGTGGCTTCCACCAAGAGAAGGGATGAAACTGGCTCTGGTAAGCAACATGGTACTTGTTTTTATTTTTCATTTTTAGGTGCCAGCTAATCTCCCTACATCACCTGACTTTTAGATCACATTTCTTTAATTTAAAAATAATTATTAAGTTGGTATAACGCAGGATAAAGTTCCACCTTCCACATCAAATTTATTTGCACAAATGATTTGAGGTCTCCCTGAGCTCTTTCTGAGATAGCAATAGCCCTTAGACTTATAGAGGGCTTTACAGTCCTCTCTAAGGGGTTCACAGAGTCAGCATATCGCCCCCAACAATCTGTAAAATGCCCCGTACAACACTACAGTCAAAGCTGACTCCCCTTTTGATGTTCAGAAAGGCCAGGGTTTCTGTCAAAACAGCCCACCATCTTGAAGATTTTCACTGACACAACCTAGAACTAAGGAGAAATTTCTTGACAGTGAGAACAATTAACCAACAATGGAACGGCTTTGTTCCAGAAATTGTGGGTGCTCCATCCCTGGAGGCTTTTAAGAAGAGATTGGATAGCCACGTGACCAGCATGTTACAAGGTCTCCTGCTTCATCAGGGTTTGGACTAGAAGATCTCCAGGGTCCCTTCCAACTCTGTTATTCTGTATTCTGCAGAGAGGCTTCTTCGCCATACAACCTTTGTTTCCAGCTCTGCAAATTTATTATTCCAAGGAGCACTTGGTGTTTCCTCATCTATCCCACACAATCAATCAAGAATAAAGTTGGATTCTTTTCCTTTACTCTCTCCCCTGAATAATTCAAGTTCTTATGGGGAAATTAGAGGAGGCAATCTGCTGAAAATTTACTAATTGGTCCCTTCTGATATCCACTTTCCTTGCTGTAGCTGAGCTGTTTTTGTTCTAATCAGAAAACAGTTTTTTTCCCCTCAGAGTCTGGCTTAAAAACCCTGAAACACAATCTAGGCACAGAGAAGAGTTGATCTAGCAACCTAGGAGAAAGTTGTAGACACTGCTTGGTCGGAAGGCTGTCTGGAAATCTTATCTGGGTCACATGGAATATCAGAAAAATGGAACAGAGAAGAAATAATTGGCTAAACCTAAAGGCTTCCGGGCTGAAATATGCAATGGGATCAGCCAAGCTCATTGCCATTTCTATTTCTGAATCAAACGGTAGAAAGAAATATACATTTCTAAAAATGAGGTGCTTAGGATCCATTTGCTAGACCCTTCTGAGAATTTGTGTGCAGTGTCCANAGTCAACCCTGAGCCGGTGAGATTTGAACCGCTGAACTGCTGATCTAGCAGTAGCCTGCAGTGCTGCATTTAACCACTGCGCCACCTTGGCTGTCTCTGCGCCACTTCTTGCAACATTCCCATTTTTTTCTATAATGACAAGACTTAGACTTCAAAGTTTTCTTACATTATTCAGTTCAAAGGTTTTTTTCATCTAGTTTTCACTTTGCTAACTACATCATTGCCACTACTTGTGAAGTGCTACTACACCTTCTGTGCCAGTAGTCTGTCATCCAGGTCATTCTAATGATGCTCTCGGTAACCCGTCCACACGATGTGTTTAAATTCCTTTTAGTTGTGCGTGACTAGCTATCAGAACCTTCTGTGTTAGCAAAGATTGGCTACATCCCAACTCAACTCCCAGAGTCTCTTCCCTCAGCAAGATCCTGCCACTTATCTCTGAGTTCCAGTAATGAAAGTTCTACCTCTCTTCCTTCTGAGATTTCCTTTCTTTGTCCGCTGGGTTTGTTCTGTGATCAAAGTGTCTTCCTCCAGGAGAGCTGCTTCCATCCCCAATTTCTCTTGCAGAGTCTCTTCTGTTTTATCTGATCAATCTACATTCTTTTTCAAGAGCTGTGCTGGGTCTCTTGCCAAGCCTTTCGGTTTTTCACAGATGACAGGCCATTTCTCTGGATTGTCGTCTGTATGAAACACACTGTATTTCTGAAAAGGCTTGTGTGAGAATGAATTTATGTGAAAGCCTTACAGTAGTCTTCTTTTCTTTCTTCTTCTTAATGCTAAACAAGAATATCCTTCAGTAAAATCCTTGCTCTTAGAGGAGGGATTTTGCTGTATTAATTCCCATAATGGGAAATGTACACCAGAAAGTGAATTAAAAGCTAACATTCAAACACCGCAATGTGAAAAAAAGGCAACAGGTCAAAGTAACACAAGCCCAAAACAACTGAGGAAAGCAAAACAGTTCTGATTAGAAGAGGTTAGAACTGGCAGGAACCCACCCCTGATCGTATCCCTGGGCAAAAAATGCTCCACAAGGAGACAACCACCGAGTTGACGCTAAGTAAACACATAGTACCAAATATTCTTTCCCATTTCTGGTCTTTAGGTATGAAAGCTTTCAAATCACCGTGATAGCTTGAAAAAAACCCTGAAAGCAATGCAACAATCACTTCCTTCTCCAAATGTCACCATTATCCTGATGCCAATTAACAGTCCTATATTTAGATTTTTACTAATTACAGCCTGTTTTGCAACATAATGGATTACAGCAGCATAGCTGACTGGGGCATTCTGGGAGTTGAAGTCCACATACCTTCCAGTAGCCAAGGTTGAGAAACATTAAGGTGACCAGACGTCCCACTTTCAGCGGGACAATCACGATTTTTAATGATTTGTCCCGTGCCCCGCAGCGTGTTCAAAAAGTCCCGATTTTC